TGTGCTGTAACATGGCACTATGACTCTGTAAGATACATACCGGCCCTTTAAGAGATGTTTGGAAAACCTGAGAACTGATGACCAAAGCAAACTTTGACTTTTACATCAAATCTGGCTGATTGGGGGGAAAATATAGACAAAACTCGAAGTGCAAGTTATGTTTGCTAAAAATCTGTCCGTCCGTCCGTTGTTATGTAAAGCTTTTGATCAATGCAGATTAAGGTTAAAAAAGTGCCAATGAGGATGAAATTAATTGGCCTACAGCAGCTTGAACAAATGTTTATTTTCGGCTCCACTGCAGAATAATCTCTTCTGACGAACGGAGCTTAAAAGAGAAATAACCCGAGATCACAACGGGTAAATTTCAGCCTTTATGATTCCTCCGAATGTCGTCCGCCCACGTCCTCGTGTAGCTGGAGATTTTCCTGTGCGCCATCACAGGGGACGCAGCAGAGATGGTTGTTCACAGATGACCTTTGACCAGCCACTGGGGAGGCGAAGGGGGAGCCAGCTTGTGCCTTTGGAGCGGCTGGCCTCTGATGTGATGGCTCCAGGCAGTGGGCTTTGCGTGAACCGATCCCCGATGGGGCCCCCCTCGTCACTAGATCCTCTGCATTATTCATCGCGGTCCGCAGCGGAGCGGCGGAGGCAGGCGGAGAACGGAATAAAAAGCGTCAAGGTTCAGGACCTTCTCAGATCACAAGGAACTTCTGCTTAACCTCCCTTGAAGTGATAAACACAGGAATAGAGTATGTTTTCTTTTTTTTTAAGCAACTGGATCTGAGAGTAGGACTGGAGATCAATGGGGATTCCCTGGAGGCTTAGAGGAGATCACATTCACCGCGAGGTGATTGGTGGATCAATGCGGTTCCCATGGTTCACTTTGCCATTGTGAGAACGGATCCTCTTCATTCCAACCAGTCCAGAGATCTCCCAGTTTACTTTCTAGCTCACAAGGAAACATGCAACAAATTGCATAATCTGCTAATTGCATAATTGGTTGACATGTTGTAACCGGGAGCGCTAACCCAGCCCCGGGTTAGCGGGCTACGTTAAGACATTTTTGCACAACATCCAGCATTGGCGACGCAGCAGCGAGAAGACGGATAAACACGCTTGTGAGCCAGATTAATTCAGGGAGGCAGGCGGATGAAATAAACCAACATCTGAGGCTGTGGAGCAGATAAAGTGGGGGTACCCCGCCGTCTCTCTGCTGTAATTATTGGCTAATAGTCATTAACCTGGCAAACAAAAGGTTTAGCTGCATTGTTTAAAGGACTCTGGGATGCATAATGACAGACTAATATGTCATAGCACTAGGGGAGAGGGGGAGGGGCGGATTAATGAGATTTTACTGAAGGGAGCGTACAAGAAGAGGTGGGGCACGGCTGGAAAATAGAGAGGGAAGAGGGCCACATTAAGCTAATTGGAAGATGAGTGCCTACTTGTAAAAGTGCTTCTAATGGCGTATTTGTTTCTCTCACTGCAGCGCAGAGCTAATGCAGGGGAGTGCAGCTGCAAGACTTATAGTAGTAAAGATTATGAGCGTTTGTCTGCGAATGTGTGTCAACACGCCTTACATCAGGGGTGTCCAAACTTTTTGTCAAAAAGACTCCAAAGAAAAAAAAAAACATTTTCCTTCCTCCACAATAAACTGAGCTTGCACTGCTTCATTGAATAAATGGAGCACTCAGGTTTTTGTTGGGGAAAAAATATGTAAATTATTATAGATTTAAATCCTAAATTGAGTTTTGCTCATTAAAAGAAAGTTTGCAAATTTTCTAGGTATCGATTGGAAAAAAGTAGAACAAAATTTATTCAATTCTCAGCAATAAAATCAGGATTTGGCTCATTGTGTCTTTGAAAACAGTTGCTGTATTAAGCCAAGTTTAATGAGTTGATTGAAAGCAGATTTTTTGAGTAAAAGTCACCGGATCCTTGCAGCAATAACGAAGTTTCATCATTTAAAGATAAATAGTTAGAAATGTTTTCTGTTGTAAGGAGATTTAATTTGTCTGAGATCATTTATCCCCATTTAACAAAACAAACTCTCCATCTGCATCAAACAGGAAATTTAGATTATTCTGGAACTGAAATCAGGGGCCACACTCAGTCATCCCAGGGGCCTCAAACGGCCCCTGGACCTCCCTTTGGGCATCGCTGGACATTAGCGTCGTGTCTTCATCATCAGAAGCTCCTGCAGGACGGACAGCTCGTGTCTTCCTGCAGATAATTCTTTTATTTCTGAACTTCTGTTGACCTTTGGAGCGTTCATGATGTGGCTCCGTCTGGACCTCTGGCTGCTTCCCCAAAATCCAGCGACCGCTGAACAGTGGTTCTCTGCTTTCCGATTCACTCCAACGCCTCTGGACTCTTTGAAGACAAAATAAAATGTCTTTTTCCTGCCAGTTGGAAATAAATAGTTGGAAATGTTTGTCTTACGGACATCGTTTTAATCTGAACTAATCAACTCTCAACTCTTTTTGCATATTTTTATAATGCCTTGCCAAAGTATTTATAACCCCTGAAGTTTTTAAGTGCAGTCGCCTTCCACTCCACTGAAAAGTCTCATCCAGTCCATCAGACTGGATGGAGAGCATCTTGAAACTTATTCTAAGTCGGGCTTTGATTAGACCATTCTAACACATGATAATTTTTTGATTTCTCACTCTTCTGTCAAACATTGATCATGCAGCCACAGTCATATCAGCTGCACTTTATTTCATTTTGAGGCGTCAGAGTAAAGGCTGAGTTTTAAAACGTTGGTAAACGGCGCTCTTTGTTTTCAGAAAACGAAGAGCGCCTTCCAGTCGCAGCTTTAACTGTAAAACTAATGCATTTTGAAAATCTTTTAAGTTTTTCCTTCCACTTAGCTGCTGTGAGCTCCTTTATATACGTGTCGTCACATAAAATCCATGTAAAAGGAAAAAGTTTGCGGTTGTGTCGTGACAGTGTGAAAAAGTTTAATGGGTGTGAATACTTTCCCAAGACGACATCACTTAACATTCGTGACGTTGTTTTCATTTTTAAGGTGAAAATTTCCTCAATTTCATCTTAAAAATATATTAAATGTAAATAACCAGGCGACCTCTGCGTGTTTGAAAAGTGTAAAAAAAAAAGAGCCAGTTTTTGTTTCCCTGAAGTGTAAAACCCAGACTGCTGCTCTTCTTAGAATCCAGATTTCTTAAGAACAGTTTTCAGACAGTGGAACTATTCACAGATTCACTTTCTAATTTACTTTCATTATTTTGTTTCAATTAAATCAAATGGAAGTGCTAATGCCCGCATGGCCATGCAGTATGAAATAATAGTGTCCAGGCTAGAATTTAAAGTCGTACCTCCAGGCTAAAACTCCAGAGCGCACACAGAATGAAAGTGTAAAATGTTTTTTAATGTATATTTAACAACAAATACCCCAGTGACTATTGATGTTTCGTCTCAGAAGAATCTATTTCTCTGGTATATCTAAGGGCATGATATGAAACCACTCACACTTTTATTTCTTTTTCTCTGTTTTCTTCCTCTGTGTGTCTCCCGTAGTATTTCTCCCTCTCTCTTTCTTTTCCCCGCTGTCTCTCTTTAAACATTTATCTTCTGTTTTCTCCTTACAGGCCCTTTGTGCTTTTGTGATGTTGGTTTTTACAGCTTTCTGCGCACCACAGTCGCCATTTATCTTTTATAGATGCCAGCAGCAAGGAGCGCGTAAGAAATGCTACCATTTCAGCATGACTAATTGTCATCGCTTGGCGCTGCTCCCCTGATGTCACCCGCTGCTGCTCCCCTGAGGGCCTGCAGTGTGTGAGCCGCACTGTTTACACTGTACATTTCCATTTTGCTCACATAAATACTCCAACTCTGAATATTATCATCAGCTGCAGCGTGTTGTTCGGTTTGTGAACTCATTCGCCAGCAGCAATCTGAAACAGGTGGAAGATATGGGGCCCCAGAAGAGGAAAAACTATCAGAATAGTCTTTGCCTAAACTAAGTCTCATCATCATCTGTTTATGCTTGATGGTGAGCCCGTCTGCAGGGGCGCTACCTTTCTTTTTCAATCTGCTTATTGCAAAAAATCCAAGCTAAGTCAATGCTTTACTTGGATCATTACCCAAGTCTCAACAGTAGACATTTTAATATTGAGCATCAGTTAATCAAAACTTTATTTTTACTGTAGTTAAACAAGACATATTGTTATAAAAATGCTCAAATTTCATTTATAATAAAATGTACTTATTGAGTTTCACTAGACATGCACCGATTTATTGGCCAGCGGATTGATTGGCGGTGATTTCCTTAAGATCGGTGATTGGCCGATACTTACATGTGAAGCAGATCTGAAATGTTTGCGGATATATCTACAAAGTGTTATTTTTACCATCAAAACCATTATATTCTCAAATTATGAAAGCAATTAAATCTGAAGTCATCATGAAGTTAAAACCTTCCCTCAGCAGGTCCTTCCTAACAAACATTTCCTGGTTTATTGGTTTATGGTAATATTTCTGTTTTTGTTGTCTGGATTCAGGTGTTTCTCAGATAAACGACACGTTGAGCTGCATTTACCATTAAATACATCCTGTATTAACATGTACTGCGTTTTTTCTTCATGTGTTGTTCCTTGGTTTCAGACTTCTAGGCTGTTCTGTTGTACTCCCTCCTTTCTTCTTTCTCTCTTTTTTCTACCTTCCTCCCTTTTTTCCCATCTCGTAGTCCATTATATTTGGAAAAAAAAGTCCTGTTGCAACTCAGTTCTGTCCTCTTTGTGCAGTTTCTCCTGAATTCCTGATATTTTTAAAATCAGATTAAAAATGGTGGACCTTTGGATTCACTTTGCCAATCTGCAGGACTGATCAGCACAAGAATAAGAGAGATTGTTGAGGGGTAGACCTTTGATGAGGCGTATCAGGTGTCGCTCCAGGGGACCTCTGGGTATCATGAATGGAAAAACCCACGTTACCCCTTGCTCTGTATCTTTCTTTGACCAGACTAATTATTCGCAATCAATAACAGTCTGTATCTTCTCTCTTGTCTCTCTCGTCTCTTCTGGGACATTCAGGATGCTGCAGGCAAGGTTTTGGACCGCTGGACCATCATGTCCCGTGAAGAAGAGATCATCACCCTGCAGCAGTTTCTGCGCTTTGGTGAAACCAAGTCCATCGTGGAGCTGATGGCTATTCAGGAGAAAGAAGGTCAGGCGGTCACAGTTCCCTCGTCAAAGACAGACTCTGGGATTAGGACGTTCATCGAAAGTAATAACAGAACCCGCAGCCCGGGGCTCTTGACACATCTGGAGAACAGTAGCCCCTCCAGCATTCATCACTTTGAGAATATCCCCAACAGCTTAGCCTTCCTCTTACCGTTCCAGTATATCAACCCGGTCTCTGCCCCCATGCTCGGCTTGCCCCCTAATGGCCTCCCAATGGAGCAGTCTGCCCTTCGGCTTCGGGAGCCCAGCCTCCCAAACCAAGGAGAGCAGGTGGAGACCAGCGAGTCAGAGGTGTCCCTATCGCCCTTCCGCACAGGTCAGAGCCCAAGTCGCGGAGTACTGGGACCCATCAACAGCACTGAACCCAAGACAGAACCCAACAACTGTGCATCGCCCATCTCCCCGACCCCGTCCACCCAGCAAGCTCAGCAGCAGTCGTCCCTTCAGCAGCAGCAGCAGCAACCGCAGCAGGGCCAACAGCAGACCCAAAGCCAGTCTCAGCAACACAACAGTCTGGGCGACCATCAGGTGCATCACCACTTCATCAAGGATGAGCCTTCGAAGTCCATCAGCCATCCTTCGTTCTCCTCCAAGATGCATCGCATACGCCGCATGGGAGCCACCTCACGCAAGGGCCGTGTGTGCTGCAATGCATGTGGAAAGACCTTTTATGACAAAGGCACACTTAAGATACACTATAATGCCGTACACTTGAAGATTAAACACCGTTGCACCATCGAGGGATGCAACATGGTCTTCAGCTCCCTGCGCAGCCGCAACCGCCACAGTGCCAATCCCAACCCACGGTTGCACATGCCCATGCTGCGCAACAACCGCGACAAGGACCTTATCCGTGCCAATTCCACCACAGGTACACCTGTCATCTCGAGCAGCAAGAACGGCGGCTTCACGCTCACCAGCCCTGGAAGGCCACCACTGGGTTTTACGACTCCCCCAGTAGACCCGATGCTTCAGTCCCCGCTGCAGAGTCCCCTGGTGTTCCCTTCACTGAAATCAGTGCAGCCAGTCCAACCAGTGCCCCCATTCTACCGAACACTCGTGTCTCCAGCAGACCTCGTCAGCCCTCCAGTGTCACTGCCAACCAGCCCCATTATCCCGACCACTACCAACAGCACCACCCTGATGGACCAGCAGCAGCAGATCCTGGCTGCTGTTGTCTCGCACAACAATGTTCACGTGTCAGAGGCAAGTCCAATGTCCCACCGGCTGTCCACTGGTGGCAGTCAGGACCTCACCACAAGCAGTGACCCCACACCCAAAAAGAAACCTCGTAAATCGAGCATGCCAGTTAAGATTGAGAAGGAAGTGATTGATGTGGCAGACGACTTTGAGGACAAAGATGAGGACGACGACGACACAATCCAACATAATCACCAGGCAAGTCTTCTTCACAACAATATTAAAATCAACGGCAACTGCAACAACAATGGTGCAAGTGGCACTGGCCACCACAGCGGCGGCAGTGGCCAGCAGTCGCCCTCCCAGGACGAGATGAGTCCTGGCCTGGCCCTGAGGGGGATGATGAGGCAAAGTGAGGACGAATGTAGGGAAGGGACTGGCAGCGACAGCAGAGGCGGCGCTTCAGAGCTGCGCTGTATGGACAGCTTTACCTCAGAAGATCAGGACCACGAGAGAGACTTTGAAAACGAGTCTGAAACCTCAGACTCCAAGATGTTCTACCGCGATGACCTGATGGACGGAGAGGAACATCAAAAGCACGGCAGGGGAGGAAGAGGGCTGGACAAGGAGCACGAAAACGAGGCCCACGAGGACGAACACTTGAGAAAAGACATCGAGGGTAACGGTCATTCCTCACCGTCTCCTCATGGGCCTCCGATCAAGATCAAAGAAGAGCTCAACGATCCGACTTATGACATGTTTTGCATGAGTCAGTATGGCCTCTACAACGGGGGAATGGCGGCAGCAGCGGCCGCCGCCGCTAGCATGGCCGCTCTGCACGAGAGCTTCATTTCCTCCATGGGGTACGGCGCGAGTCCACCCAAATTCCCCACATCTCAGTCCCCCGAAGGAGACCCATGCTCCAGCCCTGACCCCAAGATCTGCTACGTCTGTAAGAAGAGCTTCAAGAGCTCCTATAGCATGAAACTGCACTACAAGAATGTGCACCTGAAAGAGATGCATGTGTGCACAGTGGCTGGCTGCAACGCTGCTTTCCCCTCCCGACGGAGCAGAGACAGGTGAGTGCAGCAGGACTCCAAATGACACCTAACTTTACTCTAATGTATTTGATTTAGGCTCGATTCAGAATGTGTTTTAGGTTTTCAGGTTCTACATTTTTCATCATGCTCCCTAATATTTTGCTTCCAAGCAGTCCAACTTTTCTTTTTGTGTCTTTTAAAGTTGTCTAGACCAACAGTTCTTCAGGCTTTCTAGAGGCATTTCAAGGTGTTTTACTTGCACACTGAATTTCCCCTTATTTTCACTAAAGTCTTTGTATTGTAATGCATTAAGGACTGGATTTGCTGTTTGTTAAGCCTCAACTCTGACCAATGAATCATTCAACTTAAAAAAAATAAAATCTCCCAAACCTCAGGGATAGACAGCCAGGTGTTGTGTCTACACTTAACCTGAAACTTACAGACGCAAAGAAGCATGTTTTAAATTTCGTCTCAGGGCAGGCTGTTGCAAAGACACATTTTGTTTTTTACGTGTTCAGCTCTGAAACGTGCCAAAGGTAACAAGTTTGAGGCATGAAATAATATTTTTGCATCAACAAGATGATTTCCAGTTAGCCATATGCCAAATGTTTTGGCATAACTGGGCTGCACGCGTACGCCGTGTCCTCATTAAATCGAGAAAATCCGAACAAGCAGGGAGGAAAAAGCCATGCAGACACAAAACTTGTTTTTTTTTTTCTCTTTATATTTGAACTTTTATGATTTACACAGTGCTGTCTGCACTTATTGGCGCCCGTTGTTGCCACTCTGGGGAGATTCATATCTCCCTAAATCTTCCTCACTGAGCACAGCGGCAAAATGAACTTCTCTCCTTTGTCCGAGTTAGTTGAACTCATCTGACTGGAGATGTGAGTAAGTTTAGATAAGTAGACATTTTATTGCACTGCTGCTAAATCCTCAGCAAGAAAAGTAGCTACTGGCTCCCCTAAAAGATGCAAGATGATGTCATCGCCTAATTTGCATATTTGCTAATGTGCGATCCAGACAGTAGATGAAAAGAATATCTACACTGGCAAGAGAAAAGGTGATTAAAACTATTAAAATGTGCTTAAATGGTCTTTATGAAATCATTTATAAATATTAATAGTTTGCTTTAAACAAAGGACACATTTGACAGTTTCTTCTCAGAATTGGTGTTAAATGAACTCTTTCAGATTTACTTAAGTGATGGAGTAATTTTAACAGTTGAAATAGTTAAACTGCTCGACATCTTGTTGAAGTAACTGAAAGAGTTAAATTAATCACCAAATCAGAAAAACAAAATAAAAAGATAAAAAAGATTTGTTGCCTTTTTATTGTCAACTGTATTTTCACACAATTAGTTCCTGATTTATACAGATCAACAAACTGCAATACATGGAATGGATGTTTTCTTGTCTTTCTCATCTTCAGGAGACCCCAGGATATTTTATAAATAAATAAACGTTCCCTTTTCAGTCTTTCTGGGAAATTGATAATAGTTGCACCACCGATTTTCTTATATTATATTTTTATGTTTTTACCTTCTGGATAAAAGTTTTTCAGAAGGCAATATACAAAAATCTCCTGATCTTTACCAGGAATGAAAAGCATTGTGTGTTTTTGTTAAATGACTTAAACAAAAAATGTCAAGAATAACAGAAATCTATAATCTCAGAGTCAAATTAAAACTTTGAAAACCTTCCAAAACCCTGGAGAACTATTGATTAGGATTACTTTAAAATATTATTGATTAGGATTACTTTAAAATATTATTGATTAGGATTACTTTAAAATATTATTGATTAGGATTACTTTAAAATATTATTTACTTTAAAATATTACACAGCAGAAGCAACAAAGTGGCAGTAAGTCAGTTTAACTCTCAGCTGCTTTCAAACTTTTTCTAACACTTAACATCTGTTAGTTAATAAGAAATTAAAAAGGTACTTGGGGACATCTGGCTGGTGTCAAGTTAAAGTTTAGAGACCAGAGAAACACACACACACACACACACATAAAAACACACCCCAGGCTTCCAGCTGCAGCGTGTTGTTTACCTGCCCTCGCCGCCTCACCTTTGCGCGGTGAAATCAGGCCGCATACATTAACGATGACGGCGGTTTGTCGAGCCGCTGCATTCATTAGCGCGTCAGGCGGTGAAGCGCCGCGCTCACCTGGGCTTGTTAGCACGTATCCATCCCGCCGCCCTGATCCGCCGCCCCCCGGCTGATGGCAGCTGCATGTCACAACACGCGCTGCTCAGGATGTCCAAAGGGTGGCGCCGGCGGCCGCTTGGGCGCTCTGGATCATTTTGTTCGGCCTCACAAACACAGGGAAGGATTTCTACAACTAAAATCTAATTAAACCGTTTTTGTTTTCAGATACGAGACTAAAGTATTTTCCTTCATCAACAACGTTTCTGCCCAACGTGAAAGAGAACAATGAACCCAAAACATGTTGGAGAATATTTAGCTGGCGTTTTAAACTGACCCTGCTTACATTTCTGTCAGCAATAATTCACAGATTAAAATATTGTCTATTTAGGAAATTATTCAAGAGATAAAAACAAACAAATGTCCTAAGAAATACATTTTACACAATATTGTGGCAATTGAGTTTTCTCAGCTCGACTGTTTCGACCCTTCACTGCAAAAACACAAAATCTTAACAAGTATTTTTGGTGCAAATTCTCAGTTCACTTGAAAAAAGATAAAACTAACTCACAAGTAACTTGATCAGCAACACATCGGAGCTTATTTTAAGTCAATAATTTCTTCATATTGATGAAAACACACTAGTTCCACTGGCAGATTATTTTACTTCTAACAAGGGAAATATGTCCTGCTTTAAGTGAAATAATCTGGAACTTTTTATCACTATTAATGAACTATTGACTTGAAACAAGCTCTTATTTCTTGCTGACAAACTACTTGTAAGTTAGTTTTGTCTTATTTCAAGTGAACTAAGATATTTCCACCAAAAACACTGTTTTTGTGTTTTTGGAGTGTAATGGCAGAACGTTTGGACACCCCGGCACTTTTCTCCTCTGCAAGAAAATCTGAAAACATGAAAAGTTTCCTGTCATTTTCTCCTTCGTCCATCTTTTTCCAGCTGAACTTCTTTGTTGTTTCTGAACGCGGCTGCTAACCGTGGCACGCACCGCCCCTCTGTGGCGCGTCGCGAATGCCTCGGGTACGACCAGCCTGCACAAACACGTCCACCACTTTCAAGTTAAAACACTTGTTTTTTTTGTTTCTTTTAATTCTTGAATTGTGAAATACTTTGCCTGCAACATCGCCATTAAAAGACTGGATGAAATCTATCATGAAAAGCTGCATTTTTCAGCTGAAAAATGACAAAATGCTGATGTCTTGTCAGTGCGACTGCACAGATCTCAATTTATTTATTAAAAACACATTTGTTAGAGCAACAGGACAGGAGTTTGAGCTTCAAACAGGAACCAAAACAAGGAAAATCAGAGCAAACAGCCAGGCGAGTCGATACTCCTCAGATCTGTCCCCAGATAATCCTTTAATGACATAATGTGTATCTGAGAGCAGTGGAAGCAATAAAACGGGAATATCATTTAGCTGTTTTCATCAGCGCATCGTCTCTGATAAGATTAAGAAACTGCGGATTTATTCAGCACAAACTGCTGCTTGAACGTTGATTGCTTGGAAATTTAATAAGTTCTACTAATTCCTTTTTCTTCTAATCAGATGTTTGTGTAGCAGGGGCAATTAATAAGCTGGATAAAACACTTCATTTCACTTTAATAGTATTTGAGAAAGAGATAAAATCCATTTTTTTGGATAATTTGATGTTTGCGTTTAGGTGTTTCATTAAATCAATTAAATATTGTCTCAATTTCCATTTGCATGATTTTTATCTTTCCTCTACAAAAAAACTAACAAAAGTCTTCAGTCTGGTGCTTTGTTTGCAGAGACTTCATTAATTTTAGTTTTGTGTTTTATTTTTGATATTTAAAGTCCAGCTGCAGTGTTAAATGTTCGTCAGAATTTAAAGTTTGAATGTTTTTTTGCATTATTACTTGAAAATATCCTCAAAACAGCAACATTATTGCTTATCGCGACAAAGTCTGGGGCAATTTGTCATCCAACAAAATTAGTTTTCCTGACAGGACTAATGATTACAGTTAAAACATAAAAATAAAATCATGACAGTTACACATAAAACCCCATGTATAATTAAAGCTGTCTAAAATATAATACTTGTAAAGAAAACTCAGATCCCACAGAAAAAGGGGGAGGAGCTTCTGCAACTTTCAGTTACTGGTTGCTATGGTAACCGCCAACTGCCAGGGCCGAGTCACACACCGTGAAAACGGTGTCACAACAACAGTATTATCGTTGAATTTGTCTTCGTGACAGGTCAACTCCTACGTTTGATCCACAATATTAACACAAAAAGCAACGAAACGGTAGATGACGCCATCTTTGGACCCGCTTTCCGCTCAGTCTGCACTGTTGATAAATAAACAGCAGATTTCACACTGTAAAACATCTGTGCTCGCTGTAATACACTCATTTAACGCGCCCTTGAGCAAGCCAGCTCTGGACGCGAGGGTTTTAAACGTGAGGCAGAACGAATGAAGGTTTTTTTAGGGGGCTTGGAGAACCCAGATCCGTTTTTACCCTTCCTTCACCTCCAAAGGCTGGACATGTTTCCGTGTCGCCGCGGTGAGCAGGTGTCCTCCGTCTTCCACGCTCCCGCGACGCAGCCGAGCGCAGCCCGCCGTCCCTGCATGCGCCGCTGCAAATGGAGAGAGTGAAGGTTAATTATGTTGGAAAAGTCTCTCCTTCCCGTCTTTTCCCCTCGGTCCCCTCACGGCATGTGGGCTCCGAGTTCGGGTCTTCCAAACAAAAAGGCAGAGAAAGAATACGTTAGCAAAAGCCACTCCAAATATCTGGTGAGTAAAAAGACATCACTGCTGATTAATTTTAAAGAGAATGCAGAATAAAATCCTCATTCTTAGATGAAAAACGTATAGAAAACCCACAACTTGTTTCATGCATTTT